GCAGGACCTTTGACTTATCTTCACATAGGCAGAACTTGTAAAAGAAAGGAGTTAGGGGCTCCTCCCAAGCCCATGTGACCCCTGAAGAACAGATCCTCAGATGACCTTAAGAGTAAATATAAATCGGTTTATCTGGACCAACTGTATGGCCTGAAACACCCAAAAAGAAAGTAAAAAAAAAAAAAAGTAGGAGGCAGAGGCAGGCAGATCTCTGTGAGTTCAAGGCCAAGGCCTGATCTACATAGTGAGTGAGTTCCAGGCCAGCTGGGGCTACAGGGAGACCCTGTCTCAAAAAGACCAAAAAAAAAAAAAAAAGTAAGAGGAGGACTCAAGATATAGCTAAGTGGTATAGCACCTGCACAGCATGAGCACTGAAGGAAAAAAGGCCAAGTTCTGGAGGTCTGAACAGGGCAGGGTGAGGACAGCTGATAATGTGCACTTGAAGTTCAGTGAGTGGAGCATAAGTATCTTTGGGGGCCAGAGAGGTAGCTCAATGACTAAGATCACTTGCTGCTCTTTCAGAGTTCCTGGGTTTGGTTCCCAGCACCCACATCAGGCAGCTCACAACTGCCTATAACTCTCGCTCCAGGGATTCTGACACCCTCTTCTGGCCTCCAAGGGCACTGGTGTGTGTATTGTCTGCATGTAGGTAAGTGCACCCATGTCGTGCAATGCCCAATCTGAAGAGAATTTTACAAAACCAAACCAAATAAAAATAGCAAGACCCAACTATTTTCTGCCTTGTGAGGAAACATGCAGTCTCAAAGTAAAGGGACAGAAAAAGAATTCATCCCCCATGCTCCATGAGCATCATACATAACAGACAAGACATGGTAAAAACATGTGTTCATCAATACAGAAATGGGTAAAGAAAATAAGTGGCATACATAATGAAATATTCTGGACCCTTTAAGGGGACTTTTGGGGGCTGGGGAGATGGCTCAATAAGTAAGAGCCCTTACTGCACAAATTGAGAACCTGAGTTTAAAATCCCAAGCACCCACACAAAAAAGCCAGAATATAGGGGCTGGAGACATGGCTCAGCAGTTAACACTGGTTGTTCTCGCGGAAGACCCGGGTTTGAACCCCAGCACTCACATGGCAGCTAACAACTGTCCCTAACTCCAGTTCTAGGGGATCCGACAGTCTCTTCTGTCCTCCATGGGCATTGCACAACATGGGTACACTTACCTACATGCAGGCAATACATGCATATATATAAAATAAAAATAATAAATAAATTTTTTTTTAAAAAGCCAGAACATAAAAAAGCACCTGTAACCCCAGCACCAGGGGGAGAGGTTGGAGGCAAGAGGATGTTGGGGCTTGCTGATGCCAGACTAGCTCCAGGCTCAGTGAGAGATTCTCTCCCAAGGGACTAGTGCAGAGCTAGAGCAGGACATAGCATCCTCCTCTGGCCTCTTCATGCACACACACAACATACATCACACACATACACAACACACAAATGAATGGATGAATGAATAATAAATAGGACTATGCCTTTTTGGGGGAGGGGTGCTGGGAATTGAACCCAGGATCTTGTGCCTGCTCAGCAGGTGTTCTGAGCTATATTCCCAGCTTTCTCTGCCATTTTTTGTAACATTGAAAGATGAACCCAGAGGACATTATGGTCAGTGACACAAGTCAGACAAAGGAGAAACACTACATGATCTCACATGTGAAATCTAAAAAAGTGGAACTTGGTGCTAGGACTATAGCTCAGTTGTGGAGTACTGCCTAGCATGCACAAAGCCTGGGTTCAAACCCCAGGACTGCATAAACTGACATGGTAGCAAACACTTGTAACCCCAGCACTCAGGGGATGGAGGTAGGAAGATCAGGAGTTCAAAGTCATCCTTTGCTACATAGTGAGTTTGAGGCCAGCCTGGGCAACATGAGACCCTGTCTCAAAAAAAATTTTTTTTAATTAAATTAAAAATGGAAGTCATAGAAAGAGAGAATAGAAGAGCCATTACAGGGGGTGTGTTGGGGTTGGGGGTAACGGAGATTATAACCAAAATGTTCAAATTTTCAGTTATAAACTTTCAGTAATAAGTTCTGGGCTGGGCCTGGTGGCACAAGTCTGTAATTGTAGTTTCTTGGGAGGCTAAAGCAAGAGCATGGACTATTCAGTCCTACCTGGGTTACACAGTGAGTTTATGAGTCTTGCAATTTAGAGAGACTCTGTCTCAAAATAAAAAGTAAGAAGTAGCCATGCATGGTAGCACACATCTTTAATCCCAGCACTCAGGAGGCAGAATTAGGCAGATCTCTGTGAGTTCAAGGCCAGCTTGGTCTACATAGTGAGTTCCAGGCAAGCTG